GTGACCACATTAATTTCAATAATTTTAATTGGACCGACCTGTTATTGTCTGCATTATGCATTAATAATTTCCTCTTTACATCCACTTTATGTCAACTCCTAGAAACCAACCTAATTAAGTCCGCTCTTTGTTTTGTTAGTGCAAGTTTCTGCTACGGATATTTTTTGTTATCATATTACTTATTGGGTAAAAACTCATTTTTAACCTTTTACTTTATTAAATTTGAAAGTTTAGGCCTCACTTTATACTACGATACTTTTAGTTTTTTACCTTATTAGATTTGTAAGCTTTAGCTCCTCACTTATTAAAATTGAAGAAAATAACTCTTAATTTAGACTGACTATTAATTCTGTTAGCTGAAAGTAAATTTTTATCAATTAACAGTCAACTAATAGTCAATTAACGAAATTAATGGAATTAACGAAATATTATAAAATTAATTTTATTAATTCTGTTAGCTGAAAGAAGGTTTTTAACAGTTAATAATTAGCTAATAGTCAGCTAACAGAATTAACAGTCAACTAACAGAATTAATAATCAACTAACAGAACTAACAAAATGTTATAAAATGAGGGCTATTTTCTTCAATTTTATAGGTGTGGGGGTTAAAAGTTTCTTAATATAAAGTGAGGGGGTAAAACTTACAAATCTAATAAAGTAAATGGCTAAAAATATCATAAAAGTTTCTTAATATAAAGTGAGGGGGTAAAACTTACAAATCTAATAAAATAAATGGCTAAAAATATCATAATATAAAGTAATGAGTTAAAATTTTTAAATTTAACAAGATGAAGAGCTAAAAGTAGAATTTTACCCTTACTTATTGTGAGTTTTTCCCCATTGACAAGTTGACGAACATACGCAATCCATGTATATGCATCTCTCATCAAGTCAAATATGTGTTCTCAAAATGGAATAAAATGTGCAATGAATTATGTATTATACATCTATTGTCATTTTAGAAAAAATGAATAAACTAATCTACGACAAATGATGGGCGCGACGAGATGCGAAAATACCATTCTTGGGAATTCTTTAAAGTTTTAGAACTTAATTAAAATGAAGATGTTCTTTGACTGTGGTGTGGAGATAATTCTGTCCAGTGAGTACATTTTGACTCAGTCATTATGGATTAAGAGGAATACTTTGCTTCTAATTGTCAGCTTCGACGTTCTTTCTTAATCAATAAAGACGTGGCATTTGGATTTTGGACTATATCTATAATTGAGAGAATATGTACGAATATGTTGAGATAATTAAGCACTTTGAAGAAACCGTGACGATTTGCCACACATACCAAAAAGAAAAGCATATAAATTTGAAGCTTAGAGAGAGATATATATATAAGATGCAAAATGATTTTTTTTTTAAGTTAACTTGTACAATAAAAAGTAACTTTTTTGTTTTTTAACTCATTTTATTGATATGTTATGTAATTCGAATTTAAAATTTTTTATTTTTACTAAAGAAAAATTAATTATTACTGATTTATATAATTAGTTGTTAGATGAAAAATGTTTTTAATACATCCTTAGTCACAATTCACTATATACCAAAAAATATACATATATATATATATATGTATATTACACATTTGATTGTGAGATATATATATACTATAGTGATAGTCCTCTCATTTTCCTGATGCAACCTCTTCAATCCTAAAACTTCACACATTACTTCGTCCGATATAACTCAAGGAAAACCATAGTTAATGGCGTGGTGCATTACTTCATTGGACACAGCAGCAAAAGCCTAGCCCAATGACATTCTTTAACCTCAAGATTCAGTTATGGCCCAAAATTTCAAGATCCAGTTCTCTTTAAACCATTTTTTATGGGTGGACCCATAAAATCTCCAAGTGGTCCGAGTCTAGTCCTCCAAACTGCATAGATTAGCCAGACAAAATGACAAATAGCAGCCACTCCCGACTCGCATGTCTTCATATTTTCTAGGTTGGTTAATAGGACACAATTTTCTCGAATTTAATTTTTTAACTCAATCTTATTTATAAACAATAAGATTTAGATTTATGATATTTAATTTTTATTATTTTTTATTTTTAATAAATTTAATTTTTTAATTTTTTAATTTTTAAATATAAATTTTAAATGAAAATTTAATAATCTATATAAATAAAAATTAAAATTTTTTTATTTCTATATAAAATTGTTGTTAAGTATTATAATTTGATAAAAAATTTTACTTATCATTAATATATTAAAGCACCTGACCTTTCGAATCAAGTGGCTTTCAGGTCATCTTAAATGTGCAATCCCTTCTCCTCCTGATGGGTTCGAAGTTCGAATATCACTTTTTATACTTTGTTCAAAAAAAAATTTTAATATATTAAAATTTTATTTAAAATTTATGTTTGAAAAATTAAGAAATTAAATTAAATTTATTAAAAATATATAAAAAAAGTATAAATTAATACTCCCACAATCTTGCTATTAAACTCACTTTTTTAATACTTCTTTTATGTCTGCTCGATTTCTATGTTGTACCACTTTTTTCATATTCACAATTTTTAATTTAAAGGTCAAATTAAAATAACTTATGGTTACTAAAATAACTCCACCTTTTCATTTTAATTCAATTAAAAGAAGTCTTACAGTCGACACTACCAAAAAGTCACGAAAAAAATGATGTTTAGCTACTAAAATCATAAGCACCTGCGTGCATTTATAACCTCAAGAAGAAAACACCATTTTGCTTGCTCTCAATGACTACTGCATTAAAAATGATATGGTAAATGTCAATTGTCATGCCAAGGCCTCCCTTCGGCCACCGACAACCTTCTTATCTTATGCATGATTGTCAAAAGGAACATGATTGCCTTGACGTTAAATCTTGATTTTGGGTCACGTCTCACATGGGCACAACATACCTCGGTCCAAAATTCCAACAGCAACAACACTATCCCACTTGATAAAATCCGCCGGATGCATGTCCCTAGGATTAGTAGATCAATCACCCGAATCAACTTTGGCCAAGAAACCGGTCCGGTCGATCTATTTTGACATTTTAGCTACAATCTAGACAAATATTGGTTTTAGTTTTAGTCAAAACCAATATTTAACTAATTAAAAATTTTGGTTTTTGATTTTTAAGACCAAAACCAAAACCGAAACCAAAATATGTAATTATTTTGGTTATTCAAATTTTTTAATATTATAGATTTGGTTTCGGTATGATTATTTATCATTAAATATTAAAGTAAGATAAAAATTATAATGTATTAACACTAGTGAGAGAAAAGTGATTACATAAAGTGAGAGTG